CGCCACAGAGAACGGCTTTGAAGCCGCGGCCAATGTCCCTCGACTTGCAGCAGGACCACCTCGTTTCCTGCACGGCACAGAAATCAATTCTTCGGCGCTCTAGAGCTTCTGCTAACTCGTGCGAGCGCCCGTTAACGTGCCAACATTTAACGTCGCAACGCGAGTCTTCCATACGTTGCGGGACTTTTGGACTAGCCTAGTTGCCCCCCGATGCCGTCCTTGCACCGGAGACCCTCGCATACTTTTCACACTCGCCGGGCTTTGCGAGTGCGCGTCGGCTCCCGCGGACGCCGTAGCATTATCTCGAGATTCATGTAGCGACATGACATTTGTGATGTGACGTGGGTGTTCGTAGGCCGGCCTGTCACGGGGGCCTGTCGCCTGCATTCGAATGTCCGTGGTCGGCTCAGCTCACAAAAGTGAGCAGTTTCCAGTGGCACCACTTGGAGGAACGGACATCACCACCTAAGAACTTACACATGAGATAATTCTAGGGTGAATGCCGAACAATTATAAGTTTGTCAATCAATTTCCTATGTGGAACCTTGTCAAAAGCTTTAGCGAAGTCAAGATATATGACATCAGTGCAGCTACCCTGATCACTGTATAGCGTCAAATCGTTCATGGTATAGAGCATGGCCGTCACAGTGGATTTAGTTCTTTGGAACCCATGTTGACTCGGAGAAATTATGGAGTGCTCTTCTAAATGAGCCTCAATCCTTTTTTTCAGTACTTTTTCAAAGAGTCGCGCAAAGACTGAAGTGATACTAATAGGACGATAATTTAGAGGTGAAGTGAAGGGCGCCTTTTTTGGTACTGGAGTAACAAGAGATAGTTTCCACCTGGAGGGTACTTCAGCTCTAATGAAGCTGAGATTGTATAAATGCTCAAGTGGGCCTGCTATAACATGGGCTATTTTCTTAATAAATTGGAGGGGGATTCTGTCAGACGTTGTCGAGTAAGACAATGGCCACCTGATAAGTAACTCATAAATTTCAGCAGCTGCAAACCAAACCGAGTCAGCCATAATAGGGAATTGAGCAGAAGCAGCCCTAGGCGAGGAGGAATCTGATTGGGAGCCACTCTCGAAGGATTGCATGAAGACGTCTGCTAATACCTCTACTTTAGCATCATCTGTAATAGCAGCACTACCATCAGCAGTCACAAGTTTTTTGGAATGATTGGCTTGGACTTCAACCTAGAGTTGAGAAGCTTCTTAATGAAAGATTTCATCTTTTTTAGATCTTTTTCAAACAGTTTAGCAGATAATGAAAGCAGGTTCGAGCTCAGCGTCTCATGGTGCGTGTAGAAATGCCCACCTTACCTGATTTGACTTTTTTGATAAGATTTGCAATAAAAAATACAAAATTTATTGAACATCAAATCTTCTTTGATAAAATTTTCTTTAAACGGACAAATGGCTAATTTCTACAACTTAAAATCATCAGACTACAACTAAACAAGTAAGTGAAAAATAGCATGAACAAAAGCGAATGGAACGAGAACATCTGGGAAGGAATACCTCTGGGAATCATAAATTTCTGATAAACTATGCTAGAGGACACTTTGGTGAATCTGGATAGAGCGGCTTTGTGTCACTGAAAAACTGCATCTGGGTATGACTGTTCTGCTTCTGATTAGAAGAAAGTCAAGTAATACAAACCGCAAAAGATACCCGAATAATCAGATGTATTAAAGTACACAATTTTTTCTTCAATTTAAAGAAATGACATGTAATGGCAACTCAGAACAAAATTCAAAACTTAGGGAAGACTTCTTAACACATTGACGACCGCGCGCGTTTTGGCTTTTTTGGCCGTGTGGGACCGGGCCGATTTTGCGAGTGCGACCGCCGCACCTCGGATCCGTGAATTTTTATTGATAACTTTTTAAAGCACCAGTGGTACAAAAACATCTCAGTAACAGTCAATGCGTAGAAGGTAATAGAGTATATAGTGACGAAGTTCCGATTAAAGAACATGTAATGGTAATGAAAAAGGAAATTTTAGTCATTTTATCTGTAGTGGATGCCAAAAGCTCTTTTGATGTGGTTATACCAAGTGAAACATGTATTTTTCTGTCTCTTTAGATTTGCATTTACTTTCACTACCCTTTTTTATTGACGTGTTCATGAGAATAGCATGAAAACTATTAATGAACCAAGCCGCCGGTTTCGGTGAGCTTGGAAAACTTCTTCTAAACTGGAGCATATTTGAACAAACAATGACCTATGTCGTTCACAATAATGTTATGTTCTAATCCATAGAAGAGAGACAAACAATTCGGGAAAAAGCTGCGCATGCCCTAGAAAAAGGGATGATAAGGGTGAGACGCGGTAACGCGTCTCAATGTCCAACGAGGTGCGCAAAGTGAGACGCGTTACCGCGTCTCAATGTCGTCAATGTGTTAACACATGACGACAGCATGACGCGCGTGCGCGTCAATTTTAATGCGGATGGGCATCGTTTTGCTCCAGCTACATGGCATGGAGTGCGTAGAATCGTCCGTATTAATTATTAGATGACCAAAAAGGAATACCCATGATAATAAAATTGATCAAAAGAATAAGTGCTGTTTGGTTGAGAAAATATTTGAAAAAATGTCGAAACACGCACAACGAGTGCCGTTCGTCATGACTCACACAAATGTGAATGTCACTCTACTAGACTACTACATAGTTCTGCTAGATATGAGTTTCCAATGCAACGCTTGCACACGTTGCACATTTGGAAATGAGATGAGCGGATAATAGAATCAACATAAGAAGACGAGCAGTGTATTCCAAAGTAAAGGATCTCTTTGTACGGTAACAACGCTTTTATAAATGGACGTAATTTTGCCAACAGCAGTAAAATGGAAACTCACTAAACAGTTGATGTCACCGTCGACATGTGGGAAAATAAACGAAAGAACCATTATGTCGGAAGGCTGCAAGCAAGAGGTCCATCTGGACCACGGCCCAGAACACGCAATCAGAAGGCGAAAGAGGTGGGAGGACGAATACGGATGGATCATATTATTTCCTTGTCAAAATTACATGCTTAAAGACCAGGATAGAGAGGTTGAAACAAAAAGAGACTGTACGATTAAGTTCTGCCTGAGGAAAAACCCACAGCAACCCGCCCGCGAAAATTTACCAGAAAGCCTCTTTTGGCAACAGCTTTCAAAGTAATACTATGTTCAGCGACGGATATTTTTTGGACAAGGATTAAGTTTCTTTGGACAGACGTGAAATGATAGGCTAAGAAGCGCCAGGAGTTACTCAATCCACTAAGCAAGACTGCAAAACTAAAAAGAGGGAACATTACGGTAGGAATTCGTTGTTTGGTGGTCCCCAGCTATCACATTCGCCATACTCAAAGTGCGCTTTCAACTACGTGTTCTGGATCTTCAGCAATTCACAACAAACTAATGCAAGTCTACCAAAAAGGCAGCTGGTCGCTCCTAACGTCAGAAAAACCCATTCTCCAAAAGCGCAAATTCTTCTAATATGTCGTTGTTGGACTACGTTGTGTTCACACGCCTAATTCAATATATTCCGAGGATTCCATTCGCTTTGTTCTGCGCTGCCTCAACATGGCAGGCGACCTGATGCGAGTGGCAAAGTGCCGCTGACTTACTGCTGCGCGGGCCGTGGGAGCGATATCTTTGAAGTTCATGGTCCGGGCCAAGCAAGCTGCCACCTTTCCAGCGTTCGATGAAATGCAACATACTGTACAGAAGATTAAGAGACTGACTGTACATCGGGTTGCCCCCCGCCTAGTCATAGTGTAGGCCAATTCATGTATTTAAATTGGCATTACGTGTATGTAATTATGCAGGATGCGCGGCGCATTCCAAAACGAGATCGATCAACGCGGATGTTGAAGCCGTTCACCCCGATATCCTGCCGTCTCTTTTTTGCAGCGCGTCTATATCCTATTTGTGCGACACAGTTGCACACTCCCGCGCTTCAGCACCTTGCGAACACAGAATTGCGTCCCCGGCAACCGCCGGTAATCACCCTTCCCGCTGAGAAGCTTGACCGTTTCATCCTCACTTATCCTCTCATCCTCACACGCTTCCACCTGCACTGCACAACGTGCTGAAATTACTGAGAGTGTGTTGCAGCTGTTACGATAGATTCAAGAAGGGTTCAAAGGAGACGTGATGGGCGCTCAATGGCACGCAGTGGCGAAAAGAAGCTGAGAAATCCGTCAAGGAGACACAAATACGGGACCCCTTCTTGGCCGTTCTTTTTTCACTCATGAACAGCTTACAACAGTCAGCAACCGAGTCCTGAACAATGTTCACCGCTCGGCGTATGTGCCCAGCAACAGCCGCAGCTCGTTTAAATCACCATAGTGGGCGGATCGCTTGTTGAGGGCGGAGTGCTTCGAGCCTCATCAGCAACCAAGCGCAGCTTCTTCGTTAAAGCCTAATCTAGTTTCTTGGCAGTCAAGGAACTGTTTCTGTGGAATGTGCTTCCCCGATGCCGCATGCTCTCAATCGTGCTCGCTGCCTTCGATAGGTGATTATTCAGCCGTTAAGGGTAGTTATTACAATTATGCTTGCCAGAGCATTGGGAGCGCGAGTCCGCGCCTTACCACATTTGTTAGTTCTTGTTTATTTCCAATAGTCCGCCTCATCACTCACTTCAGTCGCGGCACGTGACAGAAGTCATACATACATACGACCTTTAATACAGACGACACACCAAGTTATGGCCGGTTGTATTAAAATAGAATTATTGTGAATGACAAATAATTCATTGCAGACTATTGCTAATTTTATCTGAATTGAAAACATGTATTTTGTCAGCCTTGAAACTTATCGTCAGCCAATACAGCATACGTGCAAAGTCAAAAAAAAAAGGGTCTGCTGCCAGTAATTGTAAATTGAGCCGGCCCATACGCCACAACGAGTGATGCGCGTGTAGGCTCAAGCGGCTCAGAGGCACAAGCTGAACCCCATCACGTAAAAAACACGATGCATGAGCATGCGAGCAGTATTCTCTTACCGGTAACAAATTTGCTCTTCCATGGAATTTCGATGGTCCATATATTAGAGAACTCTGGAAAAAATTCAATTCTTTGAAAAGCGTTCTTTTGTAGTAAAAAAAAACTAGCAATTTCGGAAGCATCATTAGTTCGCGATGACAAAGCCACATTATCAAATGAAAAAACAGCTAAGCAGCGGTAGAATATTCCCGACCTGCTTGGAGCCGGGCTCAATCGTCCATTCGCATCACTCGAACGAGGGGGTCATTCTATGACTTCAGCATGGGGGGACGCATTTAGAGGTTGGGCAAGGCTATCATAGCTCGCGGATCGTAGGTTGTTCAATGGTTTGTATTTAGACGGGTTTTCTGACGATTTTGGAGAAAGTTGTAGTGAGAATTAGGTCAAATTAGTAGATCTGAGGCCATGAATGCCAGTTTGTCCCGCCCCCTCGAGGGTGTTTGGAGGGAAAGGGGGAGCGAGTGGGAGGGGTTGGAGTGTCGACTGGTTTCAGAATCAAAGGCATAGAAACAACCATGATGTGAAGTGGTCGAAGGAGGAAGGGGAAAGGGGATCGTATTGGGGGAGCTTTCTAAGACTGATGGTGGGTTGCATCGAGACCCTCAAAAGGGGAGTCACAACGACTTGCGAAAAAGGGGGGGTTGGAGAAACAAGACCGAACCTAAATGCACGAGCATGACGTTTACCTAGCTTGGAGCAGGAAACACTCGCTTAAATTGGAAATACTCTTTCCCATCGCTTGGTGGGCTGGCAAACGAGAAATTCATCCTGCAGGCTAACCCTGTGCCGCCGTCACGGACGGCATTCGCAGGGCGAACTTGCACGTTCCCCCAGAGGCTCTCCTCACTCATGATGAACATGAACCTTTTTTTTCAACCTTCATTTTGTCGCACCAGCGTCCTCAAGTAACCACGCAAGACCACTGTTGCGGTGTGCCATCGAGCTCCCTCCCTAGTCTCCTTCTGCTGTTTTCTCGACCCAGCATCCAGCATTCCTTAGACTGCTTATTAACAGACTGTTTTACCACTGATAAGGGCTTTATTTGGAGCGCCTCAATGAATCCTTCTCCTCCTTGTTCACTGGTACTTGTCGGCTCAACTCCTTCAAGTTTGACTTATGTTTAGCTCTCGCATTTGTATTGTAAAATGTGCCTTCCAAAATCTTTGATTTTGTGACGAGATTTTGATTTTGTGACGATCGTGAGGAGATATATCCTTGAGCATCACGATGCAAGCAGAGGTACTCTTTCATATCAGAAATTACTGCAAACTTTTGAATTACCCGAATGCGAATCAGCGGAAAGGCTTTTCAGCGTGATTCCTTTTACTTCTTCATGTCTAGAGCAGGCGCTACCATATTTGGAGTTCACAAAGTGGCAGGAATTGATGGTGCTAGTGAGTCCTTTTGTCAATGTCTCAGAAACAGCCACAGGAGCATCTGAATGAAAGCGAATTATAAATGCCAGCCCATGGAAAGTTGAAAATTTCGAAAAGCATACCACTTCCCTCCACCAACTATCACCGTCTTTTCACAATAATTTTGAATGCAACGAGCTGACGTCGACGATATTTGAAAAGGTGTCTGTTTCGGGAGAGCACATGCTAATTTGGCAGAAATTCGACTCTGAAAAGTTTGATTTTTCTCGTAACAAGTGTTTATGAGAGAACAGATTCTTACCAACTCCTCAGGAGAGCACGCATAACAGCCCGTAGCAGCAGGAAACCCGATGTTGAAGCACTCCCTTAATTGTGCTCATATATCAGACGGTTTTTCTCCAACGTTTTACGTATTAGATGAGTATAAAACTTGAACTACTCTCTAAGTAAAGCACAACGCACGCACCTACTGCTTTATATTCCGTGGTACATATCCTGTTATCGAATCCTATCATGAACCATAAGGATAGAAAGCGGCACTACTGGAAGGTGATGGAAAAAAGGGGGGAGGGAATTCGTTTCATAGAAGGAAAACACGCCAAGAATGTCAGTGGGTGTCGGAGCCGTCAAGCAGCTAACAAACAGTAGATGTCAGCAAATGTATAACCAGAACCTTCAGGAATGCAGCGGTCATCAATACAAAGCATGCCACCTTAATGTAAACAGTAAAAAAAAGGATAAAGCATTTGCCGTTGATCAATCCCTTTTTGGGATGCGGCACGCATTCTACTTCCATTTGTACATTCGTAGTGGCGTTTGAATGCGATGTGGCCTATACAATGACTTGCGGGGGCCAGCCGATGTACAAGTCAGTGTTTTTATCCTCCCAGACAAGTCTGGTACCAATTAACCGACCCCGGAGGGATGGAAGGCTTGGTTGGCCCGGGCGACTCACGACCCAGGATTTGATCCCCGGACCGCTCGCGTGGTAAGCGTGCCACTTGCCACTACACCACTTCCGCCCCAATACAACAATTTTATAGGATACATTTTATCCTTTATCAATACAAGGCATGCCACCTTCCCACCTTCCTGTAAACAGTAGCACAAACAATTGCCGCAACATAACCACTTAAGCTAACAGACCCAAAACCTGTATTACCCTTGAACAGCCAATAAAATACTTGCACAAAATGCTCATGCTCATAAGGTGTTGGGTGCCCTGTATAGCGATGCCCCATCCTTCTATATGATAGCGCCAAAAACGTACAACATTTGGTCTGTGTGATAAGTGACTCACGAAGTCTAATGCTAGCCACGGCCTATGCCCGCATATTCGGTAGGGTTATCGACTTATCGTGGATGCTAAGCTGCTATCAGGTTCGCTGATCAGAAAAGAGGGCTCGGATTTTGATGATGAACGACCATCAGGGCTCATTAACCACCAAAATACGAGCATATATAACAGAGTGGTCCAAGTGCATGCACTCGTTCCAATGGCTTACAGTAACTCACAGCAAGGGAAGGCGAAATTCCGCGTTCCGAAACGGTGGATGCGCCAAAATTCCATCCATCAGTCCGAGTGTTCCATTGTTTGGCACATTTTCCGGCAGGCCAAGCAGATCTGCAAGTTTCCTCTTCTTCAGGTCAAATATGTATGTCAATATTTTACAAAAAGATCCTAGATTTGGCTAAGAAAACAAATCTATTCCTTCTACTCCTGACAAGTTCAGTACAAAAAGCGATTTGAACTGAGATATTGACATGCAACAGCTAAAAATGCATCTCACCCAAGAACAAGTTGAGGTACTCGATATTTTGAAAAGCAGGCATGACCACTCCTTTTCTGATCGAGGGACCCATTGGCGAAGAAAACTGTCTGCATGCTGGGATTAATGAAGTCGTAGCCGTGGTCGCCACTCAAATAATAGTCCTTCGATGGGTCACTGAAACAGATTAGGTCCACACGTTTCCGCTTGCAGATAAGTTCCTCGATGACACTTACGAGTAAAAGCTTGTGCCGGGCTCCCCTTGCACGATGACATCACCGACCCTTGCGGTCTTCTGATAGTGTTTCCTTGTCGCCATGCTGCTTCTACTGTACACCTTCCATCGATTCCCTTTCTCACACGCGAATGGCTTCATCAACTGCTCTACACTGGCAGCTGAAAAGGAATGAATAATTAATTCAAGATCAGAAGAAGTTCCCAATTTGCCTGAGGTGCCTCGAATTTCCACCTCTTCGCTGGGCTACTACCTTAGCGATATATCGAACGAGCGAAAATGAAGACATGTTTATCGAATAGAATATTTAATCTTGTTTTCAATCCTATATTTCTTTTATTCTAATTTAGAATCTCCCTTGGTTACTTATGTAAGGATCGCCGAACACAAGATTTGCACCATTAATGGATCTTCGCGCCCATTTACTAGTGGCTGGTGGGTGGTGAGCGCATATGAGACCAAATGAGGCCAAGCCGGCCGGGCTTTTCCCACAGGATCGACCGCCACATGCTGACTTCTGATGTTTTACGTCCCCACCAATGGTTGATAGTGTCACTGGACCTGCCATCGCTTGACACACCATAACCCACTCCAATTCAACCCCTGATTCCTCTAAAATTGCCGTCGAGTCGGAGGAGAACCACGAACGAAGTCGCTTTATTGTAATTCAAGGCCAGTCAAAGCCTACCCCCCGCCGGTCTCACTTCCATTTGCAGCCCATTTTTTTTCTCACTACCATTACCCTCGCCAGGAAAGGGCAAAAACGCGATCCCACGCGGAAACTTCAATACGACCCTTCGTTGAAGACATATCATCGACGGTTGACCCTGTCTCCATCTCTCAACGTAGCTTCAAAGAACACTCTACTATCAAAGTGGGGTGATCCTCACACACGATAATGAAAAGAGGTACGCGAAGTGGACTGATAATGAAGATGAAGGAAAAAGGGCCAGTCGAAGACGTTGACATTAAGAGTTAAACCATTTTCGTACCTCGGCTGTGCTAGATCAATGAGAAGTAGAGCGTGGACAAGAGACTGTAGGCGGGAGAGCACTATGGATGGGAAGGTTTAGATGACCGAGGATGAGGAAAAACTTGGACGGTCGAAGCAGTAGAGGGTACATTCTA